ACGGTTTTCCTATGATTTTTCTCTTTGCTGCTAAAGCAAAAGGGAGTATTTCTTTGCTGGATTCAAGGTACAGCCCAGCTATAGATGTGGGTTTAGTTAAATATTTGTCAAGACTTTTCTGAACCTCATCAATAGTTTTCTGCCCTGAACGGAGCTGCTCAACAGTGAGCCTGTCTAACAGTTTAACTTCAGTCAACTGTCTGGCAGTTACATCACATCGAAGACCTTGAAATTTAATATCATCATATTGCTCTGTAAAATATTCCAACTGAGAAGCATCATCAACAGCTTTCAAAATCTCTCCCCCTAAGAAAGAGCTCATCTTTGCAAAGTCTTCTCTCCTAAACCCTTCAGATGTTTTGCATCCCTTAAACATTCTCTCTTCATTACCACAAGTCTGTTCATTTTCTTGGTTTAACGTTGTGACTTCAACATGCATGTCATACTGCTTGTCATACTGCTTGTTCTTCGCTATCTGTAAATAGGAATTTTTTTGACACAGTGAGAAATACATCTGCAGAACTATGCTGTATATAATTCACTCCTAAATCCACCACCAGAGAAACAAAAGGGAGAACTTGAATGTAAGTCAGAAAGGAGAGCTGCTACTACCACTGGAGACCAGAGAAATATAGATAACTGGAGTTTTAAAGTGCATTTGCCGTGTCAAATATTTATTCAATAACAGGCATATGACTAGACTAAGCAACCATAACTGTTGCTTGTTACTCTATGAACTTAGTGCTGTTAATCAAAGCTTATTTGACCAATAACAATACAATGGTGTACAGGAATTCCTATTTCCAATAAAAACTTTTAAAATGACGTATTTCTTAGATAACAACAAACCTGCTACAAAGGTCTAATGAAAAGCTTTTTGTGTCACGCAAGAATGAAAGGGCTCCCTTCACCAAGGTAAGAACATAAGAAACATTAGAGAAAATATAGAATAGTGATAGAGCATAACTAAAACCATCCAAGCAAACAAAAAAATAGAAGAGTAAAAACCAGCACTAGGAAGGCAAACCCTGACAAAACGTAGTGTTTACCTCCAAGGGATGCAGTTTTACCCCTCCTAATTCATGTTTCATATCTTCTCCATGTCTAATAGTTTGTCTGGAACTGTGTAGATTCCTGTTTTTCAATTTGTCCCTTTCAGATACTCCAGAGATTTGGCTTGCTTTATCGAAAGTTATCTGGAACTGCGTACTCGTTTGAGAAACAAACTCTGTAAAAGATTGCGGGTTTGCATCTTCTTCTACTGACTGGTTTATTCTTGACATCTGGAACTGCACCTCTCTCGGTACTGTATCATCACTACTCATGTACAATGTATTTTCTTCTACTTGATCAGATTTAAAACCTGATCTCTCCTGTTTCTGCCTTACTAAAGGTGAGCTAGGTTTTGCACGTGGAGGAAGCTGTTCGAATTCTCTAGCTGTGGTGTCACTCCGGTAACTGAAATCATTCCCTCTCCTCTCACAGCTCAATTTAAATTCAGAATCCTGGAGTTTATTACGTTGCTGAACTTCATTCTGAAACAAAATAAACCTGTGTTCACTCTCTTTGACCTGCTGGTCCATTTTCTGTTTCAAGCTCTCAACCGTGTGCTTCTGCACTTCCAATTCTTCCTCAAGTTTCCTGCACTTCTGGTGATAGTCCATTTCAGCCTGCTTCCCTTGCTGCAGTTGTTCATGACATTTTCTAAGCCTTTCTTGCAGATCTTCCATTTGTATCTTGTACAACATGATGTTTTCCTCAGCCATATGCTTC